CGAAAGTATGTTTCGATGTCCATCAAACAAAAAGTGGAATTGCTGCAAAAAATGGATAAAGACATGAAGAATGTGACAGAGAGGTTAGTGAAAACGAAACAATTTCGATTGACAAGTTAGTCGGTATTCTCGGCACAACAATTAACGGGACTTGAACAGCGGAACTTTGTAACTGAACAAGAAATTATGTCTGTTTATAGAATGAAAGAGAAAGTATTATCACATAAAACGAAGCAACTTAAAACAACTTACATTGAAAGAAATGTTAATAAAGTAAACAAATAAATATAAGCTTTTTTTTTTGTAAATTTTGATACCCTTTAGATTATAATTGTTCTTTATTTCATAAATTAAGGTTTCATATTTTAATTTTAAGAATTCTGCATGCCATCTTACGAGATTTAAACTGATGATCTATAATCCGGAAAAATCGATAATCCGGAATCGCCGAAGTCCCGACGAGTCCGGATTAACGACTTTTGACTGTATTTACTTTTGGGCATACGAACAGTTGTCCATTTAATGGTGCAAGCATCAGTTGGATTTATCCGATAAGACTGTTATTGATTGGAATAATTATATGCGTGAAGTGTGTGTGAAGAATTTGGAGGATAATCGAAATATTAAAATTGGTGGGCCTGGAATAATTGACGAAAGCCTTTTTATGTGTGAAAAGAATAATCAAGGTCGTATCTTGCCACAACAGTGGGTCTTTGGTGGAATTTGCCGTGAGACAAAAGAAACATTTCTAGTCAGAGTTCCAGACTGGAAGACAACAACATTAATGCGCAAAATCCAAAATAATATTGCTGAAGGCTCAACAATAACATCAGATTCGTGGCCTGGATATCAAACAGAGGAGTTCATTGCTGCCAGTTTTTAATATTTTAAGGTGAATCATTGATACAGTTTTGTTGACCCATCTACGCAGACTCATACTCAACATGTAGAAAGGATGTGGGGTTCTACAAAATGGAAGAACATGCAACAACATGGGACAAGCCGCCATCATTTGGATATCTATTTAGCTGAATTTATTTGGCGGAAAAAACAGGAAATGCCTTTTGATGCTATTTTGAAAGCTATCTCCCGCCACTTTCCTCATTACCTCACACGGCATTGATATATTGAACATATGGCAAAACAGGATTCCACAAAAGTTAACTTTCTATGAAAAAACATGCATTAGTTATAATTCAGAGAATATGTATAATTTAAACAAACCTAAATGTTTTTATAATTAAAAAGAAAGTACAAAACAAATGCTAATTGAAAGGATTTTTGTTACTGCTTAATAAGTACATGATGCAATTTTTGTTAAAAAAAAGCTGGGGATTTTTTGATTGGGTCAATGACTGATGTAACATTTTAGAAGTTTTGAAGTAAGGAGCGTATAGTTCCAAGTATCCTCTTCTTTGTTTAGTTGGGTCAACCTCCGTTGCAAGAACAGATATTTCCTTTGCTTCTTTTAACAATTTGCTTAACTTCTTGTAAATTAAAGGCACTTTTTCTTCTTCATTATCACTGCTTTCTTTTATTTTTCATTTCTTCTGCTTTTTGCTTTCTTTATCACTGAAGAAAGCAGAAATGCTTTCTTTATCACTTATTCATTATTCAGTTTCTTCTTCATTATCACTGCTTTCTACTTTTTGGGCTGGTATTATAAGATTATCCAGTTCTTCATTTGTCATTTCTCGACTGTAATTTCTTAATTAATTCTTTGAATGCTTTTGTGATTTGTATGATTTCTGTGGCTTTATTTTCAATCGATGAAAGTTCTTTACAGTTGCTGATAACTTCTGGCCAGAGCTGATCCACTAAACATTCAGCGTTGTGAATGAACATTGAACTATGTATGAATGAAAAATCTAATGTTGAACAAATTAAATAAAAACAGTTAAATAACTCATGTATATGAAACTGCATTTTGCAAATCCATGCTGAGCAAGAGTTTACTGTTTTTTGAACTAGTCTGATATTGCCATTTTTGCAGATATTATTGATAAAAATACATTTACAGGTGCCCCTTGGCGATTTTTGGCAGTATATGGACACCAAGTTTGTGCAATTCTTTTGACTTGTTATTTTGGCTTTGTGTGGTGGCAATTTTTGCACCAAAAATCACCACTACACAAAGCCGAAGTAACAAGTCAAAGAATTGCACAAACTCAGTATCCATGTACACATCGACCTATTTTCACTTCAAAAAACATCAGAGAATTGCACAAACTTAGCATTGTGACCCTTGACTTTGTCCATGTACACATTGATCTATTTTCACTTAAAAAGTCAAAGAAGTATCCAATTCTACAATACCACCAAACAAAAAAATATGTAATCTCAATAAACTACATTTTAAATCAAACAATAAAATAACATAAAAAAAGCAATTCCTTATAGCATCTAAGCAGTACACAAAGGAAATATCCACTTACCTTATTTAGAAATTTCCATGTCTTCAGCCAAACAAAATTTCTTAACAGCATCCAAAACTTCCTAAAATTATCTGAACTAGAATCTGTATACTGGTGTCACCACATAAATTCATAAAAATAAGTGTCAAAAATATCCTCCGAAGTGCTGGTATCTTCCAACATTCGACCATACTCATTTCCTTCATACAAACAGGACACTTATAATGGCTACTAAGTAAACCTTCATTTCCACAACAGTGAATTAATGCTTTTTTTCCCCTTTTCTTCCAAATCATACAGAAACTTCAAATTAATCTTACCACATTCAGCCATTTTAGTGGATAAACCATAAAATAAGCAACGTACTTCCTAACCAACATCCAACACACAAAGAAGCCCTTACAAACCTTTTCCCATCAGTCAAATTCATGTCTATTACACAGCCAATTACATCATAATAGGGTTTCCATAACAGTCAACTGCTCAGATTACCATAAATGAAACAATTTGGTGATAAATGAAACAACAACTTAACGATAATCCAAAGGGGCACCCTTATCTAATCTAAATATACTCTAAGCAAATTATCTAATAATTTGATTGGTAATCAAAGAAGGGAATTTAATCTATTATCAGAAAATTCATATTGAATATTCTTTATTTTATGCTAGTGAAAATTTATGTGTATTATTGCAACCACCTTGGTAGAACTTGCCAAATTGTGGCAACCATGCAGATAACAATTCTTCATGTAACCATACTGATAACTGTAAGTTTGAACAAGCAATGTCGCCATTTTCGTACATGTTGTTACATGTTGAAAGCTGTAAAGGCAAATTGCGATATTTTTTGTCTTTTTTCAGCTGAATTTTGAATATGCACATGTGGGATTTGCCTGCAAACGAAGAAAATTCTCTGAAATTTTGGCAGGAATATAATATTTAGCCACAAAGGTGGGAATGTTCAGGTTAACAATTTTTTTTTTTTTTTGGAAATGCAGTAAAAAAGTATAATGAACACGTTGATATTCAAAGCGGTAATTGGTTTAAAAACGCATTTACTACAGTAGTCAGATTTATATATTTCTGGAATAAAGAATTAAGAAGTGTTAAGTTTTGTTTGGAAAAGTTAGAAATGGCTGGTAAGACTGTGTTAGACTAAAATAATTACATGCGGGAGATACTATTTGTAAGTAGTTGTATAAATTGTTGGGGATAAATATACTAAAATTAAATAATTGTTGTGTTCTATTAGTTTGTGGATTTGGAATGATTGATGACAACACTTGATGAAGAATCAAAACACAATTTATTCATCAATTTTACGCAGGACAATTCCAAAGACACATTACAGTTGTCAAGAAACTGCGACAAACATGCTGAAACAATCAGCAACACAGCTATCAGGCAATAACGGTGAAGACAGCTTCACAACAAAGCACTAAAGTGCAGTTCTGGACTCGGTCGTGCTCTCGAGCTAATCTCTGAACTCACAAAACTACTACTGAACTCAGCATATTCTTGATACTACTCTACTACACATACAGGCAGGGTATATATATGGCTTTTGACCTGCCTTCAAGAACATCAAATCTACGAAAACTGCATTGTGGGGAAGCTATCTTACCACTGCTGGGCATTTTACAACACTATGTCCCTAGTAACATGTGGTATGAAATAAATAACTTTCTCTGATTTGAAATTGCATTTAAGTGGTTGCATAATACCAAAATACCATTTGATTTGTTGTAATTTTAAAATTTATATTATTGTTAGTCCAAAGGGGCTTTGTCCCTGAGGACTATTGTTTTCTTGCGATTTTGCGTTGAATCACTATAAATGTTTGTTTCACTTTTCAAACTATTGCCACCAAATGTTAGAGTCCTGCGTTATATTTGAAGAAATTAAATAATGAAAAATCTGCATAAATGTATGTATAGTTCTCGCATTGTGATAAAACATCGGTACATAGAGCCATCGAATTTCGAATGACGTAATACTTCTGTGTATATGTGCATGTGGAAGACCAAATTTAAAATTTGGAATTTGTTTTATTATTGATTTCATATTTTGTAAAACTTTAATGAATTTTTGAGTAACAAACTCAACCATTTGAAAGCGAGCAATGGCAACACTCTATGAGGAAAAAAACCCTTTTTATCTCCAGCGCGCCGAACTGTGTATCGGAACTTCTAAAGATATGCTCATTTTAAAATTATTTTGAGACGTTGCTATTGAACTGAATTCTATGGTTTAAGTGCAAACATGATATTTAATATAGAAAGGTAACACACAAAATGTTAAAAAAACACCCCTTTGGACTTCATTTAAAATCTGAAACCTTTCAGATTTTTTTGGGGAAGTAGAAATGATGTGACTTTTTTTATGGTTTATTTTTTATTAACAGTTATTTAAAACTAAGATGTTGAAAGAGTTAAGTTATTTTGAAGCATCTTGATTTAATGAATTTGTGTCTATTTAATACATAATTTGCATCTCATTAAATTATTTCAATAAATTAGTTTACATGTTTTTTAAATTTGCTTTTGAGAAGCTTAAAAATGCTTTATTAATTGTTTTTCTTGTAGTGTTAAATGTAAAATTTCATCAAAATATGGTCTGGAGTCTCAGCCACGCTTAGTGGATATAATAGCTGCCGTTCCCAATGAATATAAAAAGGTATGCTAAAAACATGTTCTATTTTTCCTTAATGTGGAATAATGTTTTATTTCATTTAAGTATTATATGACCACTTATTTCATATTATACAATTTATTGCTTAAAAAGGCAGTATTTTATTTTGATTTTAAAATTGTTATTCTTCAAAGCAAATTGTAGTAAATGTATTTTGTGATATTATCATATCAGTATTTGTCTTCTGCAGTGGTCTTGGCGAGAGAAAATGGTACTGGCAGAATTCAGGCTTAAGAAATTGCGATTTGTTTCCAGATGTTATAAACATCCATGAAAGCGAAATAGACTATGGTAAATAATAAATCGGCAGTTCATTCAACATCTCTACGACATAAGTTATTTAATATAAATTTGTACTTATTATAGTATTTAATACCATTTTCTCAATAATTTATTTAAAATAACAACATAAATCAACACACCTTATTTAACACGTTGAGCCTGGTGGCGGTCTCTGGGAACGGGCAGTGAGTGAACTTTCTGTGTGGCCACTGGTCCCTAGGCACTGGAATTTTCATTTGGCTGATGTCGGTCCGTGGGACCCACAGTATTAAAGATAAAAGAATAAATATAGTCTCAATGAAATGATCAAATGTAGTTTTAATGAAATTTATTGAAACATTCTAAAAACAAATATGGCTTAGTTTTACACATATTACAATACGTAACAACTTTTTTGGTAACATTTTTGGCTATCTTGTGTCCAAATAGTTTTTAATAGTCATCATAACATTTCGAACAATACCTTCGAACTTTATGTGCGTCTCCTTCCTTTTTGTATAATTTATGAGTCATTTAAGTCGGCAGCATTGCACCGCTTGATCGCTCGTTGCCAGCTGAACGGAAAGGATGGCATGTTAATGTATATATATTAATTATAGTATTTAATACAATTATGTAAGGAATTTATTTAAAATAGCAATGTATATGCTGGAAATATCTATTAATTACTAAACATACCAGAAAATTCTATTTATTAATTCATTTAATACAATTTTATTGGCAATTTATTAGAGAAAAATAACATATATGAGCATACTGGAAAATTCATTTTTTCGCAGACTCTTTATAGTAACCACGGTTCAGCAGTTGCTCAGAAAATAACTATAACTTCTTTCTGTATTCATGGAAGATTAAAAATAGTGAGTATAATAAATATTTTACAGTGAATAAGCACTTGTTTCTGATATGTGCAGATCTATAACTGTTTGTATCTCACCAATTCAGAAATTAACCAAATCAACTCTGCCAGATTATATGCTCTTCCCAAAATTCATAAAAGTGGTATTCCTTTCCGCCCTATTGTATCAAATTTAAGTACTGCCTCATATCCATTAGCTAAATATTTAGTTTCTAGATTTTCAACTCTATTAGACAATAACATTTACACCATAAAAAATTCAATAGAGTTTGTAAAAGAAGTTAAAAACATTTCTCCTAGTAATTTACTCATGGTTTCTTTTGATGTAAAATCATTATTCACCAATGTCCCAGTGGAGGGTGCATTAAGATGTCTAGAAACCAGACTTTGCGAATTTCATTTCTCTTGCATCGAAATTGATGAGCTAATTTCTCTCACTCAACTCTGTTTGAAACAAACACATTTTGTTTTCCAAAATAAATATTACAAGCAAACTGAGGGATTAGCCATGGGAACCCCCCTCAGTCCCATCCTGGCTGATATCTACATGCATTATTATGAATCAAAATTGTTTGAAACTTTAAACTTCCCGGCATGGTTCCGCTACGTAGACGATACTTTTACTCTGTTTGAAGGTAATAAAGATGATTTAAATAAAGTTCTTTCAACAATGAATTCTATTGATCCTGCTATTCAGTTCACTTTTGAACTTGAGACTTGCAATTCTCTTCCGTTTCTCGACATTCTGGTCCAAACACGTAACACATCCAACTTCAGTACTACGGTTTTACCGTAAACCTTCATCGGTTTGCCTTCCACCACACTTTAAATCATGTCATCCAACTAAACAAAAGTTAGCTTCATTTTATTCCTATGTTTTCCGTGCTCTTCAAGTTTGCTCCTCCAAACTAGCCCTTGATGAAGAACTAAATTATTTAAAAGCAATAGCTATTGACAGGGGCTTTTCACCCAACATTATTAATCAAGCAGTTAAAAAATTCTCATCTCAACACACTAAAAGGCCACACTCTTGTTTTAGGAGATTATAAAAAATTCTGTTGTCATTCCCTTCTTTCCATCAATTAGCTATAAAGTTGCACATATTTTGCAGAAATTTAACTTTCGGGTTGTTTATTCTCCCATCAATAAAATTCCGAGTTCCATACTCAAGGACCCCATTCCGGATATGAATTCCTGGGGTATTTATAGGATTCCTTGCCAGTGTGGTTTAATTTACATTGGCCAAACTAATAGAGCCTTAAAATTTCGCGTCAAGGAACATGAGGCATGTGTTAGAAAAAAGGAAACACAGAAGTCTTCTGTTGCTCAACATTGTTGGTCCGAAAACCACACTTTCAATTTTTCTGCTGCCAAAATTATTCAAAAAACATCTTCCATTGGAGAACTGGATTTTCTAGAGGCATTTCACATTCATAAAAATCTTTCTGTTCTAGTTAACGATCCTAATTCCAATCCAAATTTGCCTTCGGCCTTTAAAGAAATTGTGTTTTAGTTCTGGTTTCACCAACAGATGGCACCAAAGTCTTCTGTTGCTCAACATTGTTGGTCCGAAAACCACACTTTCAATTTTTCTGCTGCCAAAATTATTCGAAAGACATCTTCCATTGGAGAACTGGATTTTCTAGAGGCATTTCACATTCATAAAAATCTTCTGGTTCTAGTTAACGATCCTAATTCCAATCCAAATTTGCCTTCGGCCTTTAAAGAAATTATGTTTTAGTTCTGGTTTCACCAACAGATGGCACCACTTGCTTATTCTTGTCCAGGCTTTCTATCTTATCTAATCCATTATTTCCTATCTTGTTCATTTGCGGTTTTGCAGCTGAGGATGGTGGTTTGGTAAAACCATCGAAACTAGTCCTGTGAAAATTTTGTAAATATAACGCTGATTTTTGTTGTTTGACTTCTGAATTAGCAAATCAACTCTGTTACCAAGGTTGCTACAGAAGGCAAATACTCTCGTATTACCTGTGCTAAATGTCTTTGAAATTATAGAAATATTTGGATTCGAAAAGATAAAGATTTTTGTGATTAAAAATGAATTTGCATCAAGATCCCTGAAAAGAAAAAGCACATTTTTTCACTTTCAAATGTACTTAATCTGGCATGTACATATAAGCACAACCATTTTGGTGCAAATGGGCAATTTTACTGATTATGTGGGATAGTTTATATTTTAGGGTACCCCATGGATTATTGCCAAGTTGTTTCATTTACGGTAACCTGAGTATTTTACATTGAATGTTATAGAAATCCTATTGTGATGTGATTGGTTGTAATGTATGATTGTAGTGATTTTTAACTGTTGGGAAAATATTTCCCAGGGCTTATTTATGCATTATGCATCAGATATTGGTTAGGAAGTACGTTGCTTATTTTCTGCTTTATATCGTGAAATGCCTGCTGGTGGTACAATTAAACCATAAGTGGCTGTGTGCTTTAGAAAAATGGGAAAGAAAACATTGATTGACTGGTTTGTAAATGAAGATTTAAATGACTTTGTTCACCTCGGTAAATTACACACAATGAGAGCTAAGGATTTGGAAACCAGAGCTCATATCAACACTATGAAAGGTATGTGGGGTGTAATAAAGTAGATTTTCACAAGAAATGCCATCGACAGTCCGGCAGTATGGAGTATGTTTTTCCTTTTTCCTTTTGTGAATTTGTATGTTGATAGCAGTATACAGATTCTAGTTTAGATATTTTAAATAGTTTTTGGATGCTGTTAAGGAATTTTGTGTGTCTCACCGAAGAAACAGAAATTTTAAAATAAGGTAAGTCAGTATTTCCTTTTTATATTGCAGAGATTACATAACATGTATTTCCATTCTTGTTATTTCCTTGTTTGATTTAAAATGCAGTTTATTGAGATTATATATTTTTTGTTTTAATTATGCTTTATTACATTATACTTTGGATGCTATTTTACGTAAGAGGGCGTTGCACGTTAGCAAGAATGGCATCAAAAAAATTGCCAATTTTTGCCAAGGTGCACCCTGAAATTTATTTTTCCCATTATGTGCAAATAGGCAGTTTCTCTCACTTAAAAAAAAAAAAAAAAATGATAAGTTAGCAAACATTAACAACATATTAAAAAAAAAAGAGAAAAAAGCTTCTTTATCATTTAAAAATATAAATTTTATATGGTATATTAAAAAAATAAATAAAACACATTTTTCATGAAAGCCTTCCATAATGTTTTTTGCATTTTCCTTCTCTCTATGGTCACAGCGATCTGTTTTCACTTTGAAACACCAGGGAATTGATAAACTTGGCACTGCACACCACTTAGCTACGAAACACATCTCATTATTGCACATAATGCATTCAGTCTTATTTGCAGTTAAATCCATTCTCATGAACCATTGTAACACAGACATTTCCCCCTTTTGTGCCAAATGTACAGTTTCAAAAACATACGTCATGTGAATTGAGAGAGAAAAATCCTAATGTGGTTGCAATAGTACCATTAACCTTTTCATTCAAAATTAATTTGAAGCAGACATCAAATTTAACATATTATTAAATTTAAAATTGATATTTATCTATTGTGTGTATTAGTATTAAAGTCTATTTTAAATAATATATATAATAACAAAATATTAATAAGTGTTGTTAAAAATTGAGAAAAAATATTAAATTTTTAACAGTTTTATATAGCTACAAATTTGACTTCTTGGAGGCTTTTCAAACCTTGCATATGAGAATCATCAGATTGATATGTTTGCTGGATAAGATTTTACTTGAAATTAGAGAAAACCATTGCAAACTCTGATAAATTATTTTGAAATTCCAGTGATCCAGTCATTCCCTGTGGTCAAGCAATGACCAAAAAAAAAAAAAAAAAAAAAAAAAAAAAACTCATAGATAATTAAATCATGCATACTTGTCATCATTTTATTTTAAACTACCTAAAATCATTACTGATATCAGTAATTTTTATTTATTTATTTATTTTTGTTTAATGTTTTAATTGATTTCTTTTCTCTTCTTTTTGGCCTAGGCTCTTCTTCCAAAATTAAAAGCCAAACCTATTCGAACAGCTAGTGGGGTAATGTATTTTATTTTCTGTATGATTTTTATATTTCAAAATTCAAAATTGAAGACTTCTAAGAAAATGTTGCTTTATTTTTTATTTAGATTGCAGTAGTTGCTGTCATGTGCAAACCACATCGCTGTCCACACATTAATATGACTGGAAATGTTTGTGTGTATGTTCATATTTACTTATCCATTCCATTATTGTATTTTATGCTATCTTATATTTTATGTGTTCAAAAAGTATCACTCAGTTATAAAATTATTTGTTAAAAATTTTATTTTTTTATTTATCTCTTCAAGATATTGCCCCGGTGGACCTGATTCTGATTTTGAATATTCAACTCAATCATACACTGGTTATGAGGTAATATTCATAGTATAAAGTTAAAAGTTTTGTTTCTTTTAAGACATTGTGTTATTCTAATGAGACCATAATTTTTGAGATATTCTGTAATATCAGCATTAATTAGTAAATCATGCTGTTAATATCTGTAATATTTATTCGATCATGTTGTAATAGATTTGATAATTTAGAAGATAACTGAAAATTATTTGAATATATTTTAACCACTTTACATACATCATAAAGCTTTTTAGAAATGAAAATCTCCAGGATTTTAAAAAGCAAATGTGTATTTGTTTAAAATATATATATGTATACAAAACAAAATATGAACATGCCTAGTATTTTTGCACATTAAGTTGCTGAAAAATTATCAATAAAGACATAAAGTAAGAAGTTTAGAACTATATATATATATATGTAATATATTCAGGAGCAAGAATTTTGAATGGCATTGAAGTGTTGATCCATAATGACTAGGAAAATGGGAGGTGAATGCAGATTAAATCTTCAGTTTTATTTTCAGCAACATATTGCGGCTACACACAAGTCGGCACATTAAATGTGACTGTTCCAAAGGGCTTACATTTTTGATAACTTTGTAGCAAGGAAAGCAGCAGCAGACAGACAGCAGTCTAGCTAGGCCAAAGCGTGGAAAGAAAGTGCGTAATGTTCAGGATGAAATCTCAAGTCAGATTGAGTTAGTTTTGGTTTTCAAAACATTCTGATTGCACATTTAATATTGCTCTAAAATTACTATTGGCTGGTTGAGTTTTAGTTCCATTTACAACATCATAATTATGTAAGATTCACATGACATAGAATAGTTTCGAAATGACGCAGTGCAGAGAGGGGTTACTATTTTTAGAATAGGGAAGGGAAATTAATTTACACATATAATTTAATCTTTTACATATTTTTTTCTTTCATAACCCCCCCTTGAAGAAGAAAAAAGTGCAGTGACAGAGAAGCCTTTTTAAAGAAAAAGCATTAATGCACTAGCAAATGGGGGGGGGGGAAGTAAATCATAAAATTTTGATCCTGTAAAGTATAATTTATAAATATCAATTTTTTAAAATAAATTTTTAATTTTTAGAGTCATTAAATTTTCAGCATTTTAGTCCAAAAGTCTTTTTGTTTGAGAGTTCACATAATCATAATTCTTCAGGGAAGGTTCTTGTTATCACCGAAAATCAACTTTTACATAATCATTACTTATAATTAAATGTAACATACGTATCTATTTATGATACTAATTTCCATAGTGATAAATTAATTTTAACACCATACAATAGGAGTAACAGTTTAAAAAATTATAGTTTCACCGTTATTATCATTTCATCAGTTCCTGATTTTACCAAACTGGAAGGCCTCGCAATACTTCTAAACAAATATATCCACCAAAGGGCTGTACTCTTGAGCTAACCAGTGTGTTCTCTGCACTGGTGGCCCAGGGTGCCCAGACAGTTACTTGAAAAGGCATCTGTTCCTTGCATAAGGTAACTGGCCTTTGCGAACTGCATTAATACATTCCACGATAAAAAAAGTATAATATCATTAAAAAATTACACACACTCAATGAGAGCTTCCAACATAATCTTACATGAAGAGGGTAAAAGGAACAACTCTACAGGTGCAATTACAGGCCTCTGTTTTAGGAACCAGTAGACCCTCAACATACAAGCTTAACATACAGTCACCCTTAACATACAATCACCCATAAATTTTAACATGCATTTACCATAATTTCATATTACATATCTGTAATAATTTCACTTATTTTTTATATACACTTCATTTTTAGAATAATTATAAAATTCGTATTCAAAATTTTCAACAAAATTTCAAAAATACAAATATTTATCTTTATAGCCTTCCCTAAAAATAACTAAAAATCTAAGAACTACTTATTTACTTTTCTAAATTATTAGAATACAGATTTCTAATATCATTAAATTATATTTTTTCCTATCACAGTGTTACATTTTTTAATATCCAATTTATTAAGGAAAAAAATATAAGTTCCCAATGTAGATTCAGTTACGTAAAAACAGAAGTGAAAATAATTTTCTGGCACCTACTTCAAGTGTAAAGTTAATCCTATAACTGCGAAAGAACAACATAATTTATTCGCTTAAGAGCGATATTAAGATACGTAGCTCGATGATCTTGAAAGCACTGGAATGATTTGAAACGTTAGCACTTGGAAAACATTCGTCATTTTACTGAAAAGAAATGCTGGATTAATTCTGAAAGGCTGGCACTAGATTTCATTTTTATACACTCGCAGCAAATCTATTATTCAATTTTTTTTTCACATTTTCATATTGCTGTTCAATCACCGTATAATCGCTGCACTTATTAAATCACCATATATGCTAGATTAAATTTCGAAGAATGGATTTTGACTTAAAACATTTAAAACAACTTTAGCACATAGATTGACGGAGTCGAAGATATCTTGATGTTTATAACATGAAGGCATTAATTAACTAATTTGCTTTCACAGTTGTAGCGCAATTTGGATGATAACACTTCTGTGAAGAACAGGCACACTTTGATAATTTAAAACACTTTTTTTGTCTTCTAAACATTTAAGAGATGGCTGTACACTTTGTTTTCAATGACGTTAACACTTTTGGACTTGCAGGTACTCAATATCCATTATGAATTTCTGTTACACTTGGAAGTTTGAAGAGTTGGTTGGTTATTGCAGACATTGCGATGGCATTTCCACTGGAAATCCAATGCACAAGACATGTGTCCTGTCAACTCAGTTGTAATATATTCAGGAGCAGGAATTTTGGATGGCGTAGAAGTGTTGATCCATGACTAGGAAATGGGAGGTGAATGCAGATTAAATCTTCAGTTTTATTTTCAACAACATATTGCAGCTACACACACACAAGTTGGCACATTAAATGGGACTGTTCCAAAAAGCTTACATTTTTGATAACTTTGTAGCATTTTGTAGCAAAAGGCTTACATTTTTGATAACTTACATTGTTTAAGTTTGTAGCAAGAAAGCAGCAGCAGACAGACAGCACTCTAGCTAGGCAAAGTGGGAAAAAGCAAGTGCGTTATGTTTAGCATAAAATCTCAAGTCAGACTGAGTTAGTTTTGGCTCTGAAAGCATTTTCATTGAATAGTTAATATTGCAGTAAAATTATTATTGGCTGGTTGAGCTTTAGTTTAATTTACATCACCAGAATTACGTAAGAATTATATCACATAGATTAGTCTTGAAATGACGCAGTGCAGAGAGGGGGTTACTATTTTTAGAATTCAGAAGGGAAATTTAGGTTGCTAATTTAATCTTTTATATATATATATATATATATATATATATAATTGTTTATATATGTATATAATTGTTAAAATTATATATATATATATATATATTAATTGTAATATATTGTTTAATATATTTAAACAATTAAAATTTTAACAATTATATATATATATATATATATATAATGTTGTATGAACTTAAATCCATTTAGTGCGAATACAAGTTTATTATTACTTGCGCAATTGCTGCAAAGTTAGTTAATAATAATTTATTTCCTAAAACCGTATTGATTAATTGATTATATTATCTCCTAAGTTTAATTAAAGTAGAATTATTTTAAAGTGTGCATCCATACTGGTAAGTTATATTTGAAAGATGTTTTGAAGTAATTTGAAAGCAAAATGTTAATAATGTTTTAACGGGGACTGGAGTTAAATCATCACGAAGAATAATATTACAATTGTAAAAGTAAAAATTAAAACATGTAATTATTGTCATTGATCGGAAATTAGTTGACTTTTCAAGGGGAACAAACCAACTCCCGTTCAATGATCAATAATTGATAGAAATACGTAAATATGAAAGTGTTTCGTCTTTACTCGAGTTATAAATTAAAGCCAAACCGGCAATTCTAGTCAGGCCAAATTCAATTATTGATCAATTATTGATCATTGAACGGGAGTTGGTTTGTTCCCCTTGAAAAGTCAACTAATTTCCGATCAATGACAATAATTACATGTTTTAATTTTTACTTTTACAATTGTAATATTATTCTTCGTGATGATTTAACTCCAGTCCCCGTTAAAACATTATTAACATTTTGCTTTCAAATTACTTCAAAACATCTTTCAAAATATAACTTACCAGTATGGATGCACACTTTTAAAAAAATTCTACTTTAATTAAACTTAGGAGATAATATAATCAATTAATCAATACGGTTTAGGAAATAAATTATTATATATATATATATATATAATTCTTAAAATTTAAATTTGTTTAAATTCATATATATATTATATATATATATGTAAAATGTGAAAAATAGGACGGCTTTGCTCTACGCGAACAAGCAACCGTTAATTAACTTTCAGTAATTTCGAGAACATTCCAGCCTATTACGTAACTGCTTCTATAAATAAAGAAGTTGCGCCATTTTACATCAGATTGCTTCTCTCCTCTTGCGCTACAACACTTTGCTGCTGCTTAACCCATTTTTCTTTTGTTAGAATAGTTATGACGCAGAAAGTCTAAATTTAATCTTACTTAAGTTAAATTCCTATTGAATATGTAATTTGGAGAATATCATCTAAAGTAAAAATGATCTGCGGTGAAAATTGAAATAAGGGTATGGAAATAGTAAAAAGTGATATTCTTCTGGGTTGTCATTTGGATGCTGCCTTAACACTGAGCCACAACAATGTCCGGAATTCATGTACCTGACTGCTAAAATATCGCATGTATATGTATATATATATATATAATTATATGTATACTATAAGTAGCTTGCATGTTAACAGCTGCAGAATGCTTAACTAAAAATACATATCTTATATTTTTTTATTTATTTATTTAATATCTATTTTTGGAGCTGCATTCTTTTACATGTTAGATCTTGTGATAACATAGTTAAATAATTATATAATAATTAAATTTGTTGTATTATTTCACAGTTCTTTTGGTTAAATAACTTAGCTTATTTTTTTTTTTAAATTTCTTTTCTCAGCCAACATCTATGAGAGCTATTAGAGCAAGGTATGATCCTTTTCTGCAAACTAGACACAGACTTGAACAGGTAAAATGCATTTAAATGAGCTTTCTGTGAATATACTCGTATATAGCTACATATGTTTGCATACTTTGCATAATAGCCTTCCGTGATATTTAAGGCATCAGAATGTTTGCATAATAATACTTTATTTTCTGCTGTAGATCACGTACTGTAGGTATTTTAAAAATATATTGGACATTCTAATTGAAGCTTTCTTTCAAAGATGATCATTTTTGAAAGCATTGTGTATTTCTGAGTGCTTGAATAAGTAATTGCGTTTCTGAGTGCATAAATAATTAATTGCATTTCTAAGCACATCAATAGTTAATTAATTGCATTTTAAAAATTTATGTATACTGGTAGTAGCATATGGTAAAATAATTGCTTTTAGAAAAGACAAGAGCAAGGTGGTCTGTAGAAGATTCTAATTTGTAAAAGTGGACCTTAGTAGGAAAAAGTTTGAAAGACTGTGGCATAATTGACCCTTTCCCTACATAGTATAGTTTGTCAGACTGCTTAATGTTGACTTAGTACTTATGATGAGGCTCTCTTTGAATAATCCTTCACATACCTGAAATATTTATATTAATTTTTTTCATTTCCTGTCTGCATAGCTGGTAGTGTATATTATACTACAGTTCAAGTGATGCCAAGACTAATGATCTTTATTTTTGATATGATTTCATTTAGTTGTTATATTTGCTATAAAGTTAATGGTTTGACATGTGGTTTTTATTTTAAATTTCATAAATTTTAAATGATTGCCCTTGGGTGAAAAACACAAAACAAAGGAATTTTGCCACAAACAAAGAAATATTAAATGATGAGCTTTAACATTAAATGTACTTAAATTCAGAAACATGTTTAAATGTTGTTGAAAATATGCCACACTTAATAGTATTTTTTAAAAATACTAATGTTCCAGATAGGCTATGTCCATTATGGCCAATTGATAATCATTTTCACTGAAAATAGTCTTTTCTTAGAAGTCCAAGTTTGAGTGGAATCGGAGGTGGTTTTCATAGAAAAGTTCTCTACAATTTAAATGTGTACCATTGAAATGATTATAAGGATTATATATAGAATTTACTAGAAGATTATCATGTGTAGTGTATTTAATCTATTCTTTCTTACTTTTTCAAAAGTAATATATAGAATGTAGTGTATACTGTCAATAAATTTAGCTAAATATGAAAAGTATTATAAGCTGATGAAAACATAAAATTGATATAAAAAGTTTTACAGAAGAGCAAGTTATTGGACTGAAATATTCTTACACACCCCTCAAATAATATTGTAGTAGATGACTTGCAAATTTGTTAGAAGTATTATTTTATATTTTCGAAATTTCATTTCTAAATTTGTCTGAAATAATATTTTTTATTATGTATATGCATATAATTTTTCTTTTTTTCTGAATTTATCTCATATCACATAAAAATGTTTCAGTTGAAGCAGCTAGGTCATGATGTTGATAAAGTAGAGTTTATTGTAATGGGAGGAACTTTTATGGCTCTTCCTGAGGACTATCGTGATTATTTTATTAGAAATCTGCATGATGCATTATCTGGGCATTCAAGTACATGTGTAGAAGAAGCAGTTAAATACAGTGAGAGATCAAAAACAAAATGTATAGGAATAACAATAGAAACACGACCAGATTATTGTTTAAAAAGACATCTCAGGTGAGTTTTACAAAAATTTTTATTGACTGTCAGATCAAAATGTATTATAGTTTATTTCAGAAATTAAAATTTCTTTTCTCCAGTCTGAGTATTGATTCATTTATATAGAAACATTATATTATTATGATTTCCCAAATAACATTTTATCTGTGATCTTTCACCATGTTTTATGCTGTATGAAAAAGAAACATACATGTAAAAAAAAAGTTATAATTTGAGGGGGTGAGAAAGATGAAAAATCTTTGATTATGACATATTTTAAATAAACCTTAATAAATTCTAAAGACAACTGATTTAGGTACCCCTCCTCCAAAAATCCGTTTGTTTCTGAAAAAGAGAGACATGTATCATTTGCTTTCAATTTTGGAAAAAAAAAAAAAAAAAAAAAAAAAAAAAATCAAAGATGACATCTCTCTTCCTGAAGAAGGATAGTCGTATATTTATTATGGTTTGTTTATCTTCCAAATATTTAATACTTGATGGTAATAATACATATGCTGTATGGGAGGATCATATAAATTATAATTTTATTTTTTCTTGCAGTAATGCAAAAGTCTTACTGAAAGTAAGACAAAACGTGGTTTAATTTATATTAGCAAAAATCAAACTTTATATATCATTACAATCACTATTTCTTTGGATGAAGGTATTATTCAATGTAGTTTTAACAGTAAGCAACATATCTGCACTATTGTTAAACCCACCTTTTGAATTCTCTGTGTAAAAATTTCAAACATTTACTGTTTTACCCCTTTTCTTTATTGTCACATAATTTATGTTAATAAATCATTGTTCCCATAGATTGTTCTTTACTGACTAAAGAAATGGAATTTAAGGCATAAGATCTGGTGTGTATAATGAATGAGATACCACTATCCCGCCCTGTTCACTTATGCAAGAATGTCATTTCTTGGACCAATTTTTCTCATTTGAGTCATAAAAGTATATCAGTCTTTGATTCTGGATACCATCCTAATTTGCTTAATATCTTCCAGTAGGTCAGAGAAAATAGCCACCTTTTTTCTACCCGCCAGTATGTGCTTTGTTTTCAGTGCTAGTTTCCTGTTTTTAATGCTATCTGTGCACATTGCTGTTATCAATGATATTATTTCTGTTAACATATTCTTGCCTTCTGTGGATGTTGGCAGTCTACATCTTTTTTCAGCCAGTAAAGTCAGTGATGGCACATAGTTTGTTCTTCATATTTATTATTTACATGTAATGAAGTAAATTTTTGTTGCATGCTTTTATAGAGGAAGAATCAATCTAATAATATTTGGAGTTTGAATGATCATTATCAGTTAATGAAAAAGTTAGATCCATTTTTCCATTACTTTTGGTATGGCTCTCATATATTGCTAAACTTAAAATTTACTGTAAGATTACATGCATTATGACTTATATTTTATTATATTTCTTTGCTGTCTGTTTTATATCTGTTGATTTTTTGCTATTTATTACATATATTTAACTATGTTGATATGTTGCTATTTATTACATATATAAATTAAACTATTCATTAGTGATATGCTGAAATATGGATGCACAAGACTGGAAATAGGAGTCCAAAGTGTTTATGAAGATGTAGCTCGAGACACAAATAGGTAATCATGTCTGAAAACATGTCTTATTCATTAATTCTTGTCTTTTTTGGTATGTTTTTAAAAATATTTATTGATATATACTTAAATTTTGTTAGATAGTTATTCATAATATTGACGTTTTTTCAAAAACTAATAAAATAATATCTCGCCTTAAGCTAGGTAATGAAGTTTTGCTTAATTAGTAATAATAATATTGCTTTTCTTTGATTCTAAGACACACCTTTTCCCCCCATCTTTTTATTGCTGAAAATCAGTTGTATCTTAGAATACCTTAAAATAAAAATTCTGGAATATTAAATGCTAAGCTCCTGAGAATCGTGGCCTTCCTTATGACATTCTTTTGTCAGTTGGTATATATTAACTTATAATTAAAAATATTTTGTTTTCTTACTTTCTTTAATATGATTTTAATGAATGAAAGTTTATGAAAATATAGATTAAGTAATTATGCAGATTTAACTAATAAATCTGTTTAAATGTAGTTAATTCTTGCCGAGCAGATAAAAAAAAAAGTCTCAAAAGGTTAATGTATTGTAGAATATTAAAAATATTTGTGCCTATGAGGTAAAACAAGTATTAGCTGGAGTAATATTTTTTAACCCGTTCGTGATGGCACCTCCGTTACCGAAGTGTTCTCTTGGGACGGCACATTAACCGGATGTGTCGTCCTATGGGACGGGCAATTTACCCTGCTAAGCGTAACTTTGGAAAAAAATTCGTATAAAAGAAATTTATCATCCAATTTTTCCAATTTTGGGTACATTAGGAGAAGAACATTCAGGTAGTCGTCAGAATTAATTTTAAGCCTTTATTATTATATTTTCCTTAAAATTTTTATAAAGTACTCATTCTAGAATAATATAATTTTGCCCTTATCCCACAAATAAATATATATGGAAAAATATCCAAACAATTGCAGATTTTATTTAACACAACACACAATTAAAATTAAAAAAATATTAAAACCGTCTTTCATAAAAATTCAATGAGCAACAACGAAAAGTAAGCAATGTTTCAAAATGAGACAGTGTATGATATTCCTTGAAACATGGGTGTATGCGAAGTCCAACATTGCATTAGTCACAGGAATATAATATCTGCTGCTATTTTACTTAGCAAATTTGACTCATTTAGCATTTGTATATCTTCTACGGTCAGATAGTTCTTTCGTTTTGCCATTTAAAAAAAAAAAAAAACTTTTGCCAGCTAAGCGATACAAAATATTCGTTTCAATGCCGGAAAACTCAAAGAGTAATAAAAAAGTCTCTAATGATAGAACATCTACTCCACTATAATAACTGATAAAAAATAAAATAAAAAAAAAAAAATAATACTAAATTATTAAAAGTATTCCAGAGAATCGAGAACATGTTCATTTGTTTATATAAAATGACACATGAATTAGTGATTGTGTATATTCTACCTTTAGATACTGCTTTCGTCTGCCGTTAAAAAAGATACATTTTGTTTTACTGACAATTAAAAATATTCATCTCAAAGCATGAAAAATATAAGAGTAATAAAAAAGAGTCTTTAATTATAGAATGTCTATCCCACTATATCGCAAAAATAAAATAAAATGTACCTCAGTGCAGCGAGAGCATGTGCATTTGTTTATATCAAATGACGCAGTTAAAGAGACATTACATTGCTCAGCACTCACCCAGAAATCTCACTTTCATTCCAACAAAAAATATTAATCAAACGTTCTATCTAAAAAGTCAAATGTGGTACACCAAGCCGGGGTAGAGTGAATTAAATGGTGATTCAAATATGACACATTCGGGCCGTGAGGTAATGTTCGCTGCTGTTGCACATATCACACGCCTGTACTGAACAGGTTAAGTAAAGGAAATAGAAATGGATCTATATGCATGTAATGATTGTAGTATTATTATTTTTTTTTTTGGTGGGGGTATGGGTACAACAAAAACTGAAGTTTTAAAGTATGGAGGTATTCATGCTAAAATAAAAATTACAATGTAAGAAATCAGCACTTTGTACAGCAATCATTGATAATTTTAATATAATTATTTTTCTGGATTTTAAATATTTAAATATTGCTCTAGATTATATTTTTCAATTCGCTAGACTAAAGTGAAATGTTTTCTAGGGGTCATACTGTAAAAGCAGTTTGTGAGACCTTCCAATTAGCCAAAGATTGTGGCTTTAAAGTAGTCGTTCATATGATGCCTGATCTCCCTAATGTTGATTTTGAAAGAGATATTGAACAATTTATTGTAAGTATAAATGAATTATTCTGATTTCTTATTAATATTGTGTATAAATTTGGCAAGCTTCACAAGTGAAGAATTTCATGGGTTGCAATTTATAATGTTAACAACTGGCTTAACATTAGAAATATTGTTTAGAAATTTGGTGAACTTCATATTATTTCAGAGTTCTAAAAATTACCGTACTAATTGTATTTAAATTTGAAATTGCACTATAGAATTGAGAGTAGTTTCTGCACATCTGCACAACCACTAGAATGTGTGAACTTGGCAGCTCTAGAGAATGTTCACAAACTTGTTTTTAAATTTTTGAATTTATTATGTGCCCTGCTGCTAGTAACTATACAACAAAGAATGGATACTCCATGGAGGACTTTTTAAGGGGAACTGGCTTGTATCCACATCACATATGGAGAAAGCCACAAAAATGCTCATGCAGCCAGCTCTTTTGTCGGGGTTCAAACCTCGGGCCGAACTACCAATGTAGAGTGGTTTTTACCGCTCATCTGCTTGTCTTCACAAATATGTTAGTGACTAATTTTTCACCTAGATGATGTTCAGAAGGCAATAGACATTTTCTAAATGGCAGTGCACTAAGAATTCCTACAAGAGCAATCAATCGATAAAATTACAAAAGCAAGAAGCATAGGTAGTAAAACACATAACTTTATCAAGAAGTCCTACTTTTTTGTGCTTTTATTTACCTTGTGTACACAGCAATATGTTTGTGCTTAAGAAGCATCAGAGCATTGCTCAAACTTGTGATCCATGCATTGTATTGATTGAAACAGGCATATTTTATGTGCATACCTGGATTTCCACGCAAATACTTCTTGGTGGCATTGTGGGTTGCTGCATATCTATTTTGATGACATATTGCTTTGCTTCATGAATACTTTTTTGTGACTTTCCAGTGAGGGTACAGATAATCAAAAAGTATTGAAACTGAGATAAATATTTATATCTGAATTTAGAATCTTCTCTATAGTATTCTGAATTCTATTTTTCTTTCTGCTTTTGATTCACAGTTTAAAAAGGAGTGGTCAGTCAGCATTTCAGTGATTTTATGACTAACTCTTATAGCCTCCTTTGAATTATTTTCAACAGATTTGAGAGTGCTCAAAAGTAAAACTATGTTCCTAATTTTTGTATCAAGTGTTTTGTTGACTATTTCTTTAAGAATTAGCTATCTAAATTGCCATCTGCTGTTAGTACTGATTCAAAATGTGCTATTATGATTAAATAAAATCCGGTCAGTCAGGTCTATTTGAGTTGTTGTTAGATGAAAAATGATGATGCATCATATAGCCAGAAGTCCTTAAGTACCTTTCATTGGGATTTCTAGCAATACAGTTATATTATTACTATCTTGTTGTAGTTGTTATCACACACACATACACAAAATAAATGAATAAATAAATAAATAAAAATCATTAAGTTCTGATAAACTACTGCTAGAATTTTTTTCACTTCTCTTGTAGCATAGTAAGCATTTGACCGGTAGTAATTTTGAGTTATATACAATTGATACTTTTGCTTAGCTCAGAGATGTTCATTGGAGTTAGGTAAAGATATTTCACTGACCAGTTAAATTATTTCAGCTACTTATCTTCAGACTACAGGTTAGAATAGAAGTTAACTGAACAGAAGTTAAAGATTTTGATTTGTATGCCTTATTATGGTGGAAAAACTATATTGAGCAGATGTTACAATACAGAAAGCATGCTATTGTATAAAGTACCCTTAAAGCCATCAAAGATATAGGGACTAAGGAGCCGAATCAGGATCAGAGAAAACTATTCCAAGTGTTAAATAATTACCTGCATATTTTACTACTACATACTTCTATAAATATCATTCTTCAGTCATTTAGCTGGTCCAAATACATCTGGCATAGTGGATCATTGTATGTTGACACATAACTCGTTCGAAACTTGTGATTGGCCTCTAATATCACACACATACTTTGAATCAATTCAAAAATTCTCCAGTTATACTCTGAGCTAATATTGTACTGAGTTAATACTCTGAGTTAATATTGTTTGTACAGCTTACTAATGATTTATTTGTTTATTGCAAATTCAAGACAGGAGGACCATTTAAAATTTGTTCCTTTAGCCTGATTTAATCTTTTAATGAAGCCTAATGCAAAGTGTATTTCAGTTCTCTAAATGACATGATACTTTAACAGGCATGATTAGTAGCTTCTAAGTAGTAGTATGATTATGCAAACCAAGTACAATAACTTTCATGGAGATAGACTTATCAGTAGGTTCGGCTCCAGTTAAAACACAAATTGCAATATTTTCTAAACATGTTTGTTAATTTCATTTGACAGCATGCTTTAGAATTTAGCAGCCCTAATTGACCAGTTTCTCTGGCTTGTAAGTTTAACGGGAAGGAGAAACATCATGGAAATATTTAATTATCCCAATAAAGAGCTTCTGTAGGCATTAATAAGAATAGTCATTTTTATGATTTTGTTCAATTTTTTTGCATCCATGTACATGTTGGTTCAGTGCTTTTATGACATTTCTACTTCATTGTAATGTTGCTTAGTGTAAATCAGTACACATTTATACTCCGGAATAAGATTATGTAGGTTTTCAGCCAGTGACTGTAATAATTAAGTCATATCCATAACGTTAGTACATGGCTTTCTTCTCTTTTATGGCGCTGACCAAATATGTCCATCAATGTGAGAAGGTTCACTTTGATTTAAGAAAGTTCTGGTGGCTTTCAGCTATGTAATGCACTTACACCTAAAAAGAGCCCACCAGCGGCCGAGCAGTAAAAACGCTGAACACTGGTAGTTTGGTCCGAGGTTCTAATCCCGCAAATGGGCTGGCTGCAGGGGCGTTTTTGTGGTTTTCCCCCTGTGTAACGTGTATACGAGCCAGGTTCCTTAGAAAGTCCTCCATGGAGGCATCCCTCCCTTTAGGCAGATAGCTCTCATGTGCTTTGCCATAATTGAATAATCCTAATCCCTAAACCTAAAAAGCAGTATAAAATTTTTCAGATATCACAAGATTGGTCTCTATTATCACTCATGTACTTTGAATCAATTCAAAAATTCATCAGTTATACCCTGAGTTAAATATTCATGTACCGCTTACTGGTGATTTATTTTTTATTTCAAATTCAAGACAAGGGGAACATTTAATTAATTTTTTAAATAGCCTGATTAAATCTCTTGACATTTATTGAAAGTTATTAATCCTCAGTCCATATGAGAAGAAATTTAGTATGGGTATTACTGTAATAAGACAGTAGCAGAGTCAAAAGTTATATATGTTATTCAAATCTGTGTATCATTCAGAGTAATAAAGTGAGATATATTAATTGTTTTGAAATTGATCACTGTGTTTTAGAGTTCAATTTCTATGACTAGAATTTCTGGGAAAGGTCATCAAAAAAGAAGGGAAAAAATTAAAAAAAAAAAAAAAAAAGAAAGAAAGAAAGAAAATCTGGAAAGGTCTCAAATTTTGAATTACGTCCAAAGGGATGTTTTTTTAACATTTTGCGTGTTACCTTTATTTATTAAATATCATGCTGTTTGCATTTAAACCATAAAATTCAGTTCAAGAGCAATATTGCCAAATAATTTTAAATTTAGCATATTTTTAGAATTTCCGATACACAGTTTCACGTGCTGGAGATAAATATGTTTTTTCTGTACAATGTTGGCATTGCTAAATCCTTTAGTTTGTTATTCAAAAATTTGTTAAAGTTTTACACAATATGAAATCTATAATAAAATAAATTCCAAATTTCAGATGCCTATATTCGCAGTAGGATTATGTCATTCAAGATTGGGGGGCTCTAGGTACTGTTGTTTTATCACAATGCGATAAACATACATACATTTATGCAGATTCTTCATTAATTAATTTTTTCAAATATAATACAGGGCGATAATATTTGGTGGCAAAAGTTTGAAAAGTGAAACAGACGTTCAGGGTGATTCGACGCAAAATCGCAAAATGAAAACAATAGTCCCCAGGGACAAAGTCCCTTTGGACTAATAAAATAACTATTATGATGATAAAAGAATTAATTCTTTGAATTTAATTAATAATTAAAATAATTAGCTATTAAATTATAAACTGATTAAAATTAATAAAAATGTAAAGACATAAAAATTTAATTAATTATTAAATTTATGATGAATAGTTCTATAGTAAAATAAAATCCCGTGCTTTGTGTTATTTGGGGCTGTTACTGGAATTATAATTTAATAAGAACTAGGATGTAGCTCAGCCGAGCATTAGCCAAATTTAGGCCCTGAATGAACAGATAATGTGTTGTTTCAAAGGATGATAGAAGCAAAGACCATGATTTTTATAGCACACCAGTGAAAAAAAGGTAAAACAATTAAAACACCGCTAATAAAAATACAGACAATGTTTGAAACAGTAAAACAATACTGAACTGCATAAACAATTAAAACACCACTAATGAAAATAGAGACAATGCTTAAAACAGTATCAGAGTATGGAAGGAAATTTGGTTATGTAGCTTTTTCGTTCAGAATGACATTTTGCCCAATTTTCCTTTCCCTTTATCACCCTCGAATGAATGTCTTTACCCCACTGTCCTAATCTCAGCCCCACGTGTCAGATGGGGGAAGAGGTGGAAGTTTTTCTGTGTTTCTGTTTACCTTTTCATTCCTTATATCTTTAATCTAATTGCTACCTTTATTTCACATCACTGATTTATAGCTACAATTATTAATAAATTATTTTTTAACCGCTTTCCTTACAAATTTTTTTTGAAAAAAATTGCAAAAAATCATCACATTTTTTTATTTTATTATTAAATACAACAAAACGAAACAAATCAAAATATGTAAGTTTTAAGTTGAATTTTTAATTTTTTGAAGGTGTAAAAGCATTTAGTTTTAATATTAGTTTATTATCCCGAGTTACCTTGGGCAAATGAAAAAAAAGTCAAATATTAGTCTTTTTTGATAGTTTTGGAAATAAGGGACAACACAAAGTGATACC